AGTCTTTTAAATATAATATTTATATAATAATATATATATTTATTCTTATATATATATAAGACACTTTCAAAGCTTTTCAACAGCATCGTTTGGCCTTTGGCTCAATACTCTGGAAAAATCCACCAAAAATGAATCTTTATTCGGGGAAATCGGAAAGATGACAAATACACTACACTAGATTTGTACTCGAAACCTGGTCTTCTCCAAAGAGTAGTAGTGGCTATTCGAAAAGTAGGAACGTGTAACAAATTAAAAGAGAACAATGAGGCAAAGAAGAAGAGGCGAGAGGGAACAAAAACTGAATCTTAGTCATAATATAAATTCTTTCCAGCAATTAGTTACAGCCGAATAATAGAGGATGATAGAGAAAGATGCTGTGAAGAAGATGAGGCTAATCGGGGAAGATACATTTGATGAACAATCGATAAAAAAGAGCACTCATTAAAGAGAATGATCATCGAATTCATGACCCATCGTTTGACTGTTGGTGTTCACATGAAACCAAAACAGAACATTTTATCACCAGATATGTATAATTTTAATTAAGCTATACTTATTCAAGAGGGTGTTTCAAACGGTTCAGATCTCGATTATATTCATAGTTAAGGGAAAATAAAATGACACTGAGCCCTGCTATCAAACGTGCATACAAATTTGACAAGTCTAAAATAACAGAAGAAATTATAATGTAGAAAACAGTTTTCACGATTGATCAACTCGAAATAGGACTTCTGATTTCAGAAATCAATAGATCTCTTTTGCCAGTTTGAATTTTCATTCCAATCAATCGAGAAGTTTATAGTTCAGATAGGTGAATCAAACTATAGGAAAAGTTGGTAAAAAAACAATACACCCTTTTCTATGTAATGAAAGATGAAGGAAGGCATGGGTATAACTTGAAACTTCTTCAATTACAACTGAAGCGTATGTTTTATCGGGGAGAAATTTTGTGAAAGGAAGCTTACCTAACAACTTCACTCTAAAAAGAAAATGGTTGAATAATACCACACGCTTTCAATTTGAAAACATCATCAAAGTTCTCAAAACCTGAAGCTTGTAAAACCTAGATAAACAAGGAGCAGTACCGATTCATAGATGTATTTTAGCTCCTAATTTATTATATCCTCTTTCTCAGGGGATATCCAAGCAAGACGAGTATAGAGTTATCGTCCATATGAGAAATATTTGATCGTTTTCACAGTATGATTTTATGATGAAAGTGTTGAAGATGCGTTCTGAATGTCCGAAATTAGGTCACTGATTGATTCTAACGTAAACCTTTCTCTCTGTTTCAGTGATATGAATGAGCAGGTCATGGATGGTGTTAAGTTCATTTTATTAAGTGTTTTGTTCCTTACGCCTGCTACTTCTGAAAGGTGAGTTTTAATCTCTTTTTCTTCTTCGATCTAGAATATTCTACAAGATGCCCTCCAATTTTTGGCGATTATGAATGTCCCCAACTATTCGAATGCAAGGAAGGGCAATGTATTGATAAAGATTTGACTCCTTCAACTGCATGCTCTTCAGATGTTAGTAACTATTTTTTAACTAAAGTTGTCTTTGACTTAACTTTTTAAGGTAATCTGCCCTTCAGGAACAGTCTGCGCTGAAGGAAGATGCTATTCACAGAATGTTATCAAATGTAATAGGTACATGGAACAACAAGGAAATATTGTGATATAAAATTTTTAGGCATGTCCTAGTGGCTGAAGGCAAAGCGAAAAGTTTAGTGTCTGACTGTGGTGTCAAAGGGAAATGTGTTAATGGACAGTGTGTACTTGATAGTAAAAAATATTGATCTGAAAGTATACAGCAAAGGTTGTTATTCCTAGGGTGCAAAGATGTTTTATGCGAGGATGGAGAAATATGTAGGGATGGTATGTGTATCAAAATTTTAGACAACTTCTGCATTGGGCATGCGGAATGTGGACCAAGCCTTGATTGCCTGAACAACAAATGTCAATTAAAGTTAGTTATTGATCATGTATAAGCATAAGGTGTCATTTAGAAAGGCAGAAGCGATTTGTAATTGCCAGCCATATGAAATTTGTCACCATGGACAATGCTTCGCAAACAATCGTAAGCTTTTTATTCGAAATAAAAGAAGATGACGTTTTTATCGATGTTCCGAGTTGAATGTAGTTTAATCAGTAATACTCTATTGATTCAAGTTTGTTCAATGATTCAAAATGCTAATTCAACTTGATGACGCATTGATTATCTTAAGTTTATCTATATACAGAATGTTTATCTGTTTTTTGTGAGCCTGGAACGTATTGCGTAGAAGGACAATGTGTTAACGGTATATCATCAGAACAATCCGATATAGCATTGCAAATATTTCTAGCTGTTGGGTCAGATTGCTCAGAAGAAAGTTGTCACGGTGGTGCTGTATGCATAAACAACGTGTGTGCTCATGACCCATGTAAAAGCAGGTTCAGTATATATCTAGCTCATCAATGAGTTCTATTGAATTTCAGTTGCCCAGCTGAACAGGATTGTCGCTTAGGCCAATGCCGGTACATGGAAGGTATAGCCTGCCAATCTGAATGCAAGGGACCTTATGAATGCATCGATGGTCGTTGCCGCCGTAATGGTAACAGATAAATATTGGAGGAGGATGTATTTGAGAATTGCAGATTGTTCCAAAAAAGTTTGTCAATTGGGAGAAGCCTGTGAAAACGGATCCTGTGTGAGAGTAGTTGGACGGTTCTGTACGTTTGCTGCACGCGATTGTGGTCATGCGTTCGCTTGTATTGAGAACAAATGCGTCGATTTATTGAAGGCAATTGAATGATATCATATATGGTACGTTACGTTCTTTTGCGCCGGAGCAGAATTGTGTGCAGAAAGGCATAAAATATAAACTTTTGCTTTCTTTGCTTTTAGTCATAGCAACAAGCTTTCATCGTATGCATGCACCCCTAGACACTCCCCCATGAACAGAATATAAGAACTTTTTTGTATTCACAAGTCTTCTTCATTATTCATCCTTCAGCTTATAGATGGCGACAGACACTGAATTGATCATTGAAGTTCTTCTAATAATTCTTTTACCTGTAAGTTTGCTATAATATTTCAAGCTACTTTTACATTTCAGCCCTTGGCAATATGGTACCATGATAAAGCTTGCTCTATTAATGTTTGTCTCAACATATGTCTCATGCTTCTCTTCTTCTTCCCAGCTATAATTCATGCTGTCTGGTACTGCCTTATGCGGAACAAATAGTGCTCTGGAATTGAAACTAAAATAAACAACTTACAAGCAATTTATGTCAAGTTATTACAAAAACGCCTTAGAATTCAAACGTTTAAATGTTAAAGTGTTTAACTCTGACTACAACAATTGTATCACACACTATATAATAAACATATATAAATTGAGCATTTGCTTCTACAACATCTAGATGTATAAATGACAACTGTGACTAGAAATGCATATATATTATCTCATTAGGTAATGACAACAAGTATAAAAAAAAACAATGCCAATAAATGAAAGTGAATAGGATTAATAGTTCAAAACTTAATGATCATTTTACCCGAATGTGGAAATCAACCTTGCCGAGAAGAGATTAGAAATGAGTTATAGGTACTGTTATGAACTTTGGATCACCAACTGTATTTGCTCCATTCAGTTCCATATGTTTCCATTTTCCGCCTTCACCAGCCTTAGAAAGAAAATACTTGTAAGTTTATAATTTGAAAGTTACCTTCAAAGAGAATGACCATTGACCATCCTGATCCACAGGACCACAATGAGGCAACCTCAACTCACAAGGAATTTTGAATGATAGTCCCTGAGGACCACACATAACAAGAGGGGATAGTAGGGTTTCACCCTTCGCTCTATCAATTGGAGGCGATTCTCCTTCACGACATACCTATGATCAAAAGTACACTGTCAATATGAAAAGGTACTTACTTTAACATAAATTTCTTTCTTTTGGCCATCCAGTAAAGCGCCAGGTGGAATCCTAAGCTCTACATTAGAGTTAGGGCAACTCAAAACACCCCCTTCTGATCCAATGAACCCAGAAGTTTCCTCGACCACCGTAGGTTCTTGCTAGAAGAAAAACTTAATAACAACCAAAAACAGCTACAGAGAACGTCGGACTCTCTGCAGAGTATGCATGGAAGCCAGTAGTATGAAATACCTCATCTTTCTCATCATGGACATTGTCCAAATCTTCAGAGACTGATAGTTCTTCCGGTTTCGCTAGGGTAACTAATGGGGAGTTGGTTCCATTAATACGCAAACTTGAACTGGAACTATTACCTTGATTGCTTACAGGGTTCATTCTGTAATTCCTATATTGAAGAAACAATAGTAAATTCCTAGAAAACAATATCAACTCACTCAGCGCTCAAGTGTTCAGTCAAACCGTTCATGGGAGAGTTTACATATGGTTGATGTTGATTAGACAAAGCGTCTAGATTAGCAGATTCAGTGTGATCTGCATTCCACCTATTTCTTCAAATAAATTAATTTAAAAAAACTCCCAAGTAGTTCTACCTAATAACACTATCACTCTGGAAATTTGGCTTTGGAGCAATAGAAGGCTTCTGTGAAGCTGTCTGTAAGAATCTTGGAGATAATCTAGCTGGCAAATTACTATGCGATGAAGATGCCAATCTACCATTATGAGTTCCTTGAAGTAACAATGAGCTGTGAAAAAACAACAAAAATAACATACCCATTGGTACATACATTCCGCTATCACCGACAGATTCGGATCTTTCATCTCTCGGAGAATACATATTAGAATTAGGAGGCTGCAGAGGCGATGGCTCACGGTCATTAACCGACTGCTTCAACCGATCTTCCTTCATTCTTTCTTCGCGCAGCCTTGCTTCCTCACGGAGTCTTACATTTGCTATTTCGTTGGCCAGTCTTGCATCATGATAAAGCGAATCATCATTTAATAGCTGAAAAAATAAAAGTAATGAATAGATAGTCTTCCGATGTTTTCACACCTGCTTAACGTGGTAAAATCCAGGAGACGGAGCGGTAGGGTTATTGTTTTCTGAAAACATGAACAAAATTGAATATTGCAATAATTATACACACCAGTAATATTAGCTTTCACAGGAGAGACTAAGGTTAAATCATGACTTGCGATTTTCACAGGTATTACTGAGTTAGTTGAGGCTATATTGTTGGCAGTGTTAGATGTTAATGATTCGTTTGGTTTACGAGGTAAAGTAGTCCAAGAACGAGGCTCACTTGAATGATCCGGATGACCAGAGTGCTGAGAACGGTCCCAGTCGTACATTGACCTAATATAAAGATTAGAAGTTCGCTTTTTAAACCTTACCTATTCATAGAAGTATTCATTTTGGTCAAGCTGTCTTCTCGCCTCAACCCGAAATCACTGTAGTCTCCTTTCAAAGAATCCATATCCGAATCATAGTTAGTAGTTTTAGTAGACAATGGAAAAAGTAGAACCTAAAAGAAGTAGAAATCAGGACAGAAAAATATATAAAAATATACATCTTCAAGAGGAATGTTGGGTGGGAACTCAGGCATCCATAATCTTCGTTGTTGCAGATGAGCTATCAAATCTCTCAAAGCATCAAACCAACCATCTTCATGACTAGCATCAACAGTGGCTTCAAAATTTAACATCAGTTCGAAGCATTGAATCAAAAAATACCTGACAAAAGATGTGAATGGCATTTTTTGATTCGACTGCTTTGTTCTGCCAATTTCTTAGACGATATATGTTGCCCATTCATCTGTGGAAAAGTTATAATACTATGTATTTACTTCATTCTGACCTTTTTACGTATTTCCCGTATTCGCGACCTATTATCAACATCAATGAGAACAACTATCGGAGCATACTGCGCTAATTGCAGCCTTTCCACCTGAGAAATAAGCAGATTGAAAAAGTTTCAAAATTGCACTGACCGAGTCTATCGAGATATCCAAAATGCAATGTTTCCCAGAACTAATCACAGAATCAATAGCTGCTAATCGGAATATTCCACCATCACCATCAGGCTCTGCGAATCTCATTGAGAATTGGGACAAGAGTTGTTGCCTAGCTAGATCGGCAAGAGGGCCAAACAACACCACGGGTCTGAGTAATAGATAGATGGAATATGACTTTAGAAGTCAATACCTGTAAAAACTGGGTGTATTCAAAGCTACACGTTCATAAGCTGGTAGAGGAACAGAAGCGGATAACTCTGTCGGATCCGATAAAAGATTTTTGGGTAAGCTTTTAGTTCGTCGTTGTTCCAGTTTTCTTCTCAATAGCGTTCCTTTTCCTTTGCTGTCTTGTTGTCGACGTTGATCTCGGCAAATGGTTTCAGCAGTAGCCTAAAGCACTCAATGCAGACGCTCGCCCTCACACCAATGAATACCTCGTTCGGTATAACCCCCTTGGCAGCTTCACCCTTATTGTTATTGGAGGAGTAAACACGAGAAGCTTGCCATAATCCAACGGTCCCTCCGAACAGAGTGTCAGTAATGTGAAAAATGTCGCCTTCATTCAAAGATAGTTCCAAAGGCGAATTCTTTTTATCTTTCGAAAAATGAGCCCTACAATGAAGAAATCAAATGTGTCACCAATTCGGAACGCATCAATTATTTTGCTGCATCGATATTTTAAAACGAGTCAGCTGTTCGATTACAACAAGAGGTCAAGATTTGACAACTTAATAGTTTCAAACAACGTCGCAATTTCGAAACCAAGAAATGTCTGACAACAAAACAGTGTAAACTAACGTGCCTTATATAGAAATTATCTCCTAATTGATTATTCCGTACATGCTCAAACTCTTGTCTCGCGTGCTCCAACCGTAAAGTTACTCTATCTTCTAGTGCTAAAAGCAGTTGCACAGCTGCTTCCCTGGTTACACCCCTCATAGAGCGTCCGTTGACCTTAAAATTTGATTAAGAACTATGAATGAGAAAAATTTGATATGAACCTCGAGTATTCGATCCCCACAGCAAACTCCATGAACAGCTGCAGGAGAGTCCGCAGCTACAGCAGAAACAAAAATTCCTACTTCGTTCCCTCCTATAACACGAACTCCAACGCTTCCTCCAACCTACAGATGAGCAGAGCAAAGTTAACATGCTCATATTAAAACAAAAACCTTTCTGAATACAACAGTTCTAACTCCATTAGAATCAGGTCTAGGTTGTTGCCTGTTGTAGTATTCATATTCACCATTGAAACCTAAGACCCCTAAGATAGCGAAGTAGATGCATATTTGAGTATTTTACAAACCATTGACGGACATGACTGGACTACTAATTCTCCTTTCATCTGTAACAGAACCTTCGTTTCTCCATCTCGGTGAGTTTATATACTCATGAGAAGATCTTAAACCACTGAAAATCACCAACTATTAGCGGATTAGGAGTTAACTAACTTATTATTATAAGCTTGGTGGGCTAACATGGGGCTAGGACTGTGACGGGGTGTTGCAGAGACCGATCCTACTCGCTCGTACACTGTATTTTGACTAGGCCATCTCGATGTAGTTCGCCTAACATCTCTTTGAATAACGAGACAAAGTTTTTCTCGAGACCTTAGGATAAACGAGACTTTTTCGAATAAAAACCATTATAGGATACCTTTCCAACCATTTGTTCACTTCTTCCAGAGTAGCTCCCTCCAAGTTTTGTCCATTTATCCGTAAGACGGCGTCTCCTTCGCGGAGACCAGGATCCTAATTTTTGCCGCTTTGAGAAACAGTATATATATATATATATAACTACCTTGTCGGCTAGTTTCGGGTTCCTGATTTCTTTTATATAGAACTTGCAACCAACAACGATGCCAAAATCTTCTTTTTTCCTTGATTTAGATAGTGTAAATTTTAAAGTTCTCTGTTCAAACTCCATAATCGGTACAGGTATTTTTCTTTTCACTATCTGAAGCAACAAGTTACTCGTGAAAACCTCAAGGCGGAAACCATATTAATTTGCTCAGCCTTCTTTATAATTTCTACGGCGGACGCGTAATCTACGTTCTCGAAAGAGACACCGTTTGCTGATAATATCCGATCATTGACTCTAGAATGCAACATATGAATGGAGCTTTTTCAAAAAACTGTAGTACTGTAACAACCCGAAAGCTGGCCCGTTCGAAAGAACGTCAGAAATTACCACTGCTGGATCTCCAGAAGTAAAATGAGGATTATCTCTCCCACCGCTCACTGCTATTCCGAATCCCCAAGAAGATGCCTGAAAAAAAGGAAGTTAGAGAATTCAAGCAAAGATAAATGTCAGAAGATGAAGATGAATAAGAAGTGCTAATCTCTACTCTTAAAAGCGTCTATTGCCTTTCTAAGCCTTCTTTCTACGCCTATTGACTGCTATTTATCCTTGTCTTCCCTATGGGTTTCCATTGATCAGTAGCAACTTATATGACTCATGGGCTTTGTTATAGCCATCTTTAAGAAACAAGCAATACTTCACAAGCGTTTCGAAGAAAAGGCAAATTTCTCAAATTAAGACCAAAACATTAAGAAAAAAAATAAAGAGCTCAGGAGCATCTCAGATGAAGATACTGCAAAGAATGTAAAGTGTGCGAATGTTAGAGAAGTTGATGACCTGGTGCCACAAGCGGCTGTCCATCGCTCAGGATCAGCAAGTACTTCACTAGATATCCAAAATGCAACTCTTATAAACTGTGGAACTTTGAAATTTATGATTTTCATGAAACAGAAAGCTTACATTACCAAATTCTCTACATAAATTGAGCGGGTAGGAAAAAAAGCGTGATTTAGTAGATTGAAAAAAAGAACTAAAGAAATTAGAAAAAAAACAATGAATTAAAAAGTGAGGACAGTAGAACAGAAACATATCGAATAAAGTGAATAACATACCCTATGTAGTGAAACGGACAATAATTGCCAGCTAGCACAACCTGCAGACATCTAAAAGAGAAAACATAAAAATTTAAATTAGGGAAGATGAAACTAGTAAGACAATTAGAAAAAGAGAGGAACAGAACTTCTATCTAGAAAAGGCAATTGAAACTGAAAGCTAACCTCATCGATGTCGTCCAGAACAGGCGGCACAAGCAGCTCAGATGGAGGCTGCGAGCCATCCATTGGGGAATACCCGAAGAACTGAAATAATTTGTAAATTTTCAATTGTCTTGATATATAAAGAACGTTTTCCTCTAAACGACATGCTTTATTTATAATTAATGCAATCAGTAAGCTTAGACGGTGAAACCGACTAACCCAAAAAAAAAATATGAAGAAAAAACCAAAAAACCCCATTAGTTATTACTAAAATATTAAAGATATTGCAGAGAAATCATTAGCAATAATGTAGATTTCAATGTTTCATACGAGCATTTTACGCATTACAAAGGATTCATAGATGTAAGGTTCTTAAGATATGTCTCGCGGGAGGTCATTCATTATTGCCTAAATCCTCTCCCGTTAAATATTGTTCTTGCTTTCAAATATGAAGAGATTTGAAGGGAACAGGACATTAGTAGTCAAGTAAGTTAAAAAACGAATAAACATGGAAGATGATAGTATAAAACAATACAAATGAACTAAGTATTTTTTCGCCCATCGAGTTTCTAGAGTAAAAATGGATGAGAAATGGAATGTAGGCAAGATGAAAAAACAGAAAATGTGAAAAGATGCGGCTCGATAAATGTCAATATTAAATGCCCTCCATTGTATTCACAGATGACAGATTTTTTGAGAAACTATTTGTGCTGTCTTCAGGCCAAAAATTTTTTGTTTATCAAAATGTTTATAAGAGTGTTTCATATAATGAGTGTAAAACATAATTCGAAATGCTGTTGAAAACCATTATGAAGCTGTATATTAATACATATTTAACCTAGTACATGTACGCAATGAAATAGGATATCAAAGGACACAAACAACACGTCTTACAAATCTTCCACACTCATTCTAATCGATATTTGGCATTACGCCGCTGAACGACATTGTCCTCATCCTCCTCAACGCCATGATGGCCAACGCTCACTAGAGCCACCCCGTCTCGACCCATTCGTTTTTTCCCATCCATGTTATGAACGAGATATTGCATTCATTGGTTTCTTTGATATTTCTGCAGTTGTTCAAAATACTTGGAGTTATTGAGTTAGCTCAATTGTTACCTGTACAATGATCATTAAATAAATTGAGATGTAAAGTATGAGTTTTTTATTTCCGGAAGAATGATAAAAAAGAACCAATTATCGCACATGAGCGTTTTTAAGTCGAAGACTAATTGAATATAATTGAAAACAGGAACAAGCTCTTCGTCATTTGATGTGCGCGAATAGCTAGGAAGTTCTTGATAGCAAACAATTTTCCGCTTGATAGCTGCACTTCCCAAGTTGCTGAGGGAGTCGTCAAATACACGTTGACATAACATTTTGAGGAGTAAGACCATAAACATCGGCGTATGGTAATCAAGGTAATGCTTTTCCTTTAACCTGATCTATGACTTTTTAGAATGGATTTATTAAATGCGTACAAAGGAGTTACAGATACAAAGATGGTTATAAATATTAATTTCTACAATGTTTCTGTGAGTGAGAGTTAGATTTGTCATATGAAAGATCATCAAATTTGGCAAACTGTACCAAAGTCACGGGTATATGAGACAACACAAATCTAACAAAAACTCAATATTGAACCATAGAATAGCTGACAGCTTTAACTTAGTTATGATATAAGTAATAATTATTGTATAAAACATGGCTTCTAGCCCTGAATAAAATGCGTTTGGAAGTAAGAAGAAATTATTTTCTCAACGATGCATAGGCGCTTTTAGCGAAGATCTGTATTCTTCCTGGAATACTTTGTAAATGACTTCTGATGTGTGCGGGATCGTAGAACAAGATGAAATGTGTAAGAACAGAAAGAAGTCCAATTATGAGGAAACTGATGAACAAGTCCTTAGAGTTTTCTTTCACAAAGTTCACTGCTTTTCGGCCGATGTCACACACAATGTTTGGATAAAGAGGACAGGGTGAAACCTTAGTGATTTGAGTCTAAATTCGTAAATAATTTGTCACGGAAAAGTTATTTTCAACAACCTTTGATGGTGAGTGGCTATCTGAACGAAGAGTTCTAATGGGAGTTGAAGTAGCTTGTGGCTTTCTACGTTCGCTGACCCGAGAAGTTCGAGAAGTTGGAGGTGTCACACTCTCTTCCTTTTCTAGAGGCTTAGGAGCAACACGTGCGCGGGAAGATGACCTATAAACCAAAGTCACATTATGACTGCCAAAAAGGGATATTTATGTACCTGCTTCTTGTGGTTTTTGGAGGAGCAGGGGCAGTCTTGGGGGTGACCACTTTCTTTGTTTGGCGTCCTCGGCTTGCCGAGCGAGAACGAGATTGAGACGCTCCAGCCTGAGCAAGATGATAAGATACATCCGTTTTTTAGAACATACCTTTCCCCTTTTTGTAACTTTTGTAGCCTTTGCTGGTTTCGCCGGCTTTGGAGACTTCGCAGCCTTTGGAGTAGTTTTCCTTGCACGTGCAGGAGATCTTGTGTCTCTTGACTTCGATCTTGCAGCCTGTAGCAAATTGAACAATGAGGACTGATGAAAATATATTGAAGGGCTCAATATTTAGTTATCTACTCAGTATTAGCTCAACTCTTCTTATTACAATGTTAAATTCTTTGCTATAGAGATAAAAAACAGACTAGGATTTTTCATTACGGCTATCCCGTTTGAGTAAAATAAATGTGAACTAACCATTATTTTTCTTTACACAAACGCGACAAAACTCACAGTCCAAAACTATAAGTATCCCTCTGAGGAGGATCTGAAACATGACTCAAAATAAACAAAATTCAAATAAAAAAGAAATTGAAAAGTTTTAATATAATATTTCAACAGTAAGACAAGTGCAATCGCTTCGAGCAGTCACAATACTTCAGCTTGGAGCAGAAGGGGAAAAGGACGCCATCGGACCACGCTGACCTCGAAGCGAGAGAAACAGCAGACAACAGAGAATAAAGAGAGCGCAAACGATTAGAGAACTGTATACAACGCATACAATTCAGAGACAGTTAGACTTTTGGCAGCTTGCCAAGCAATGACCGTTCTGATAGAAATAAGGGTGAACCATAAACAAGATGAACAGACGGCATATGAGACGAGCATTGTTGTCAAGATACATAGCACTCTCTAATGTCAAAAATGAAGTACAAAAACAATAGAAGGGGAGGAGTGAGTAGTAACGGAAAAGACAACAGTAGGTAAAAAAAAGAAAAACTGCCAGCACTGATCGAGACAATAGGAACTGATTGACATTTCCCTTACCACATTATTAGAGATGTACTTTCCCAAACTTTTGTCCCGCCTACCAGGAGCAAGAAGCAGAACACCGGAGGTCACACTTCACCCGAAGTTAAATAAACTCTATACATGGCCATCTACTTCTTCTGCCTTTACTCACATTGTAATATACGCATGAACATGTATCAATGGCAAAGTTAAAGAAAAGTTTATCATTAGTTCCTTCAATAATTTAACGGTATGTGCAATTGCATTTTGAAAATTGGTCTCGGAAAACATTGCTTTAGACCACAAGATGAGATTGAACTAGAAGTGCAATCTTTACAAGTCAAAAACCAGATCAATCGTAATGAAACCAAACTTATAAAATCCCGCTTTAGTTGTGAGTGAGATATCTTGGAGTAGCGCTAAATTTAGCATATCCCTTGATGACCTAGAAAAAAAACATGTTAAATGACCTCTCATCACTGTGTAACCTTATTGATGGCTTCTAAGAAATCTTTCTCTGTGGCAACCTTACGTCTTGCCCTAATAGCAAACATACCAGCTTCGGTGCAGACAGAACGAATTTCAGCACCTGATGAATACAAATTAACGGGATATTTAGAAATAGAATGAATACCTGTGCTGTTTGGACATAAGCGTGCGAGTAAATCATATCTTATGTCTCTCTCCACGCTCATTTGTTTTGCATGAATTTTCAAAATATGAGCACGACCTACAATTTTATTATCTTCCGTAAAAGTAAACGTCTTACCAGCCAAATCCGGTAGAGCAAACTCAATCTTACGATCCAAACGACCAGGACGCATCAAAGCAGGATCCAGGGTATCTGGCCTATTAGTCGCCATCAATACCTATTAGAAACATAAGCAACCTGCTAGTAAAACACAAATCTCACTTTGATATTTCCACGAGGATCGAAACCATCGAGTTGGTTGATCAATTCCAACATAGTTCTCTGAACTTCATTATCTCCTCCTTGTCCATCATCAAAGCTTGAAACATATCAATGAATACTATTTGTGTTGGTTTTTCGTTATACCGAGCTCCTCCGACAGCATCGATTTCGTCAAAGAAAATAAGACAAGCTTTTTTAGTTCTAGCCATCTCGAAAAGTTCACGCACCATCCTAGCCCCTTCTCCAACATACTTCTGAACTAACTCAGAACCGATAACACGGATAAAGCAAGCATCGGTTCTACAACACACACTCAATAAGTTATTATCATAACGAGATATACCTGTTGGCGACAGCTCTAGCACACAGAGTTTTACCAGTTCCTGGGGGACCATAGAGTAGAACTCCCTTTGGAGGCTCAATACCCAGATTTACAAAGCGTTCAGGCTAAAGAAAAAGTTTAGGCTTCCAAGTCAGAAAGTGAAGAAATTCATACATGAAGCAAAGGTGTTTCTACAACTTCCCGTAGTTTCTCGATCTGTTCTTTACAACCTCCAACGTCAGCATATGTTACGTCAGGTTTTTCTTCAACCTATAACACAAGCAGTGAATAAAAAAAAACTGAAGTTTCCTACCTGCATCATGGTCACTGTAGGATCAATTTTAGCGGGTAAGGGAAGGTGAATTTGGTATTTATTTCGATCAACACCGACTCTCATTCCTTCCTAAAAAAAAAGAAGATATTACATATTAAATTTGGAAAAATCACCTCAATATCAGTAGGGGCAACAGTATCAGCCAAATCGACTACAAATTTAGCGAACTGTTTGACGTTAATCATGTACCGCGGATCCTGACCCTCGGTTTGAATGATTTTTGTACAACGAGCAACCTGTTAAAGACTGTAGAAAATAAGCAAACTTCGTAACAAACTTGTAAAGGTTGTTCTTGTTGCATTATCGCTTTATCACCTGGAATATCCCAGAGCGCAGGAGGAGCCAAACCGGTATCAGACTCTTTTATTCCGGACAATTCGTTTACCTGGAAAATTCAGTTAGAAAAGAAAAGTATATTTTGCCTTACCTTCTTGAGACACTCCTCTGTATCGGTTTCCAGTTGTTTCAGCTGCTCAGCATATGGGCCTTGCCCGTATCTTTTCAGAACAGCAATATCTCCTTCATCGAGAGCTTGAAAGTTTTTCTCTTCAGTCTTCTCTTCGTTACGTACTTTTCTCATGTCATCTCCAAGGTGATCAGGCATTGTTAGAACTTAAATAATGTTTAGCTGACAACTTAACTATAACATAGCAAAAAAATAAATCATTCAAGAGATACAGGCAACAAAAAAACCATAGTTTCAATTTATTTTTCTCATATGATGATAATTTTAGACTTGAATGACATTGCAATTCTCAACAGAGCGCGATCATTAGCAATGGAGCGCAACTAAAAAAATCATCATGACTTAGTTTACTTATAATCCCCCGAATATTAAGAAAATTGAGCACCTGAAATAGACTGATTGAATTCATCAAGTATTGAGTGTTTTAAAAACTGTTTATTGATCGATTCATCGCCTTCACAAAAATAAACGAAAAAAAATTGAGATTACTGGAGAAACCTCTTGTCTACAAGATTACTACACCACTTTTTTGTTTAGTATTGTGCTTTTTTTCTTCAATGAAAAAACCCATTTTGAAATATTTGAATGAACAGTTAATAAATAAATTATACAAGTAGAAGAAATGCTCATTCGTACTGACAGTTCGTCTCAGCTATGCTCCAGTCGCCAATAACAACTTCCTGAATTTATAGATTA